GGTAATTAGCATAGACAGCAAAATGTTGAAATAACAGAGAATAGACTATTTATTATTTATTTATTTATTTAATTGAAGAACCAATTCTAAATAACAAAGTTGGAAGCCAGAACAACAAAGGCCATCAGTCAAGAATAGACTATTATGTACGTGTATATTATTTAAGTAATATAACTGTTTTATAGCTCGCTGCTTCTTCCCACTGATCTGGCACCAAAAAATAAAACGTCCGATCACTATGAGTTTCAGCTTCAAACTGATATGATACATATGCTGAGGGAGAATATGATGAGAGTGCACTCACGGCTTCGTTTTTCACGAAGCCCCTTTTATATATTCTCACGACTATTAATACTCCAATAAGAAACGTCGGCATAGCCGATGCCCTGAGCGAGTGTATGCATGAGCACATATGAGAGCAGAGCTAAAGATGCCAACTCTCTCACCACTCAACAGCAGCTAAACTGAAGCTGTTGATCTACCTACATAAATACTTACTTACTTTGCCTCAAACAAGCATGTCAATAGTAAATTAAATTGAAGCCAATATCTGTTGCCAAATTGACGTAAATTTTTATAAAATTATATATACAGAAAATCTTCAAAAAGCTCGAATTAAAGCTTGCCCTAAACACTCAAAAATTTCAACACTCTTTGCATAAATTAATAAATTAAAAAGTTTTCATACAATATATATGCAAACAAAAATATGAATGCTTCACATAAATCAGACCAGAAAAAAAAAAAAAAAAATAAGCAAACTGCTTTGTTCACTGTTAAGAGCCAGTCGCATGCAGACATGGCTCAAATATCACAGCACAGACGGGCCCTAATGCACTTCATCAGCGTCGAGTGTTGCAAAAGAGAACAACATCAACAACAACAACAACAAGAGCAGCAAGGAGAAGAGCAATTCAACTTAACCATTTATTAACTGTACAATACAGTGCAAATTGGCTAAGAACGCCCCAGCCAAACACTCGAAATTAACTACAGAGTCCATATAATTTGCTTGCTCTCTCTTTTATGTGTGTCACTCGAATCCCTTGGCTTTGCTCTCGCTTCAGGGTCGAAAAGTTCTCCTAAGTAAATGGACATCAAGTGGATTTGAGTTTGTGATTGGACCTTGACCGTGTACGATAGCTTGGATTGGCATATTATAGTCTTCGGCTAATTGCTAAACCATTTAATTACAGTTACGTGACTTTCGCTGGCCCACGCCAGCAGCTGGCCAATTGAAGTTGACGTGTGTCCAGCCGGGCACATTAAATCAGAGCTGACGAGCTGACAACAAGCGAAGCACGCTCACGCCTGCTCAGCTGTCTGTCAGTGTCCCTTGTCTCTTTTCTGTCCGCTTGTCTGCCTGATGAGTTGCTGTGCATCACGCGTGACAATTTGGCTTTTATCGCGCAACATTAAAAACAACGTCACACACGCACACGCACACACGCGCGCAATTATTTTCGTGTCTGCAATTGCATTGCGTATACGCCACATGTTGCACAGTCCATTGCTTTTGGGCCGGCCTACGAGCCCAGCTAATGCAGATTTATTGAGCCATTAGCAAAGTTGATTTGCTGTTGAACTGCGCTCAGCTATTGGCCTCTATGATTTGTTTGCTATTTTTCGTTTTAGATGCAGGGATTTATTCTGAGTATTCTGTTGAGGCTGTTAAAAAGTTGTTATTGTCCTTCTAAGCTGCTTAAATATTTGTAAAGCTGCTTGTAAGCTGCTTACTTTGTTACACGCTGGAATGTCTCTAACATCATACCATGAAATTTATGGATTAGCGAAATCTTTAACTTTTATCTGCCGTAATCACTTTATTTTTCTTTACATAGATGATAAAGATAACAAAGGTTGTTGAGCCTTTGTCTGTAAAAATGGCATATTGAACTGAATGCGATTTGTTTGAGTGATTTATTGCATACCAAAAACAAAGCTTTTCAAAGTAATCAAAGTTATTTTCTCACACCACTCGCTGGGCATTTATGCATACCCTTGAGTAGGGCAACATAACTTTGTTAACGAACATGGAAAATGGGGGAATGTTAGTTCACTGTACCACTGTACTGTACATATAATCATTCCTGTTTCTCTAAGAATAATTATTAATGAAATTGAATTATTAATAATTATTTATTTTAATATTTAATTGAAAATCATTAACCATATTTATTTACTTTATTATTACATATAAAGATTTATTTTTTAAATTATTGAAGTATAATGCAAAATGTATATTTAATTTAAAATTATTTTTAGTTACAAAAATTTATATTCTCTAAAAATAATTATTAATTAAATTAATTTATTAATTTAAATGTTTATATGAAAATAATTTATCATATTTATTTACTTACTTATTACATATGAACATTTCATTTTTTTATTGAAGAATAATATTTAATAATTTAAGAAAAATGATTTTTAGTTACAAAAGGTTACTATTAGCTTTTTATTATTTTTATATATTTTTTATACACGCAAGAGTATGAAAATATTCATTCACCATCAAATTTTCTCGTCAAGAATAAAATGTTGAGATTTAATTACTTTTATTTGGCTGTTAAAGTTGAAATATCACATCGCGATGGCAGCATTCACAATTTGAATAATTGAAACAAATAAATGAAAATGTTTTTAGCTGGTTAACGAATTTGTCAAAGCGTATTTATGAAGGCTAAGCTAAGCTAATTTTAGTTTACGATTTATTAATACATGTACTCACGCTCTCTTCGGGCTCATAATTTCTCGCTGAAAAAGTGTGTTGATGGGACGGCCAATTAATTAGCTAATGAATTTTCATTTTGGGCAGCTAAAAAAAATACTGAAAAGAGAAAACAAAAAGCAGAAAAACTTCGCCCAGTCAATTTATTGGGCTGTTGGCAGTCTTGGGGCTTCTGCTTCTGGCAGGCATTTACCTGCTGCGAGCATGTCCTGTCTGCCAGGACAAACACCAGCCTATTAACAGCTGGCTCCTCCCCCTACCCTCTACCCCATTGCCTTCAGCGAAGACCCTTTCACACCATTTCATTTGCTCACATTTTTGCGCCAAAGTAATTAAGTCAAGAACGCTTAAAAAATTCAAATGTTGTGCTGGGCTCGTAAATTCCGCAGCTGTTTTCTGGCCAATATTAAAGACCAGCCAGCTTTGTAGCATAGTGTTGTCCGGGCATTAAATAATTATGTACTTAGCCAGCTCATTAGCCTGAGCTCTAAATAAAATAATAAAAAGAGCAAGCAAACAATGGTGCAGCCGTTGATGAAAATGCCGGAAGGCCATGAAATTGCTACAAGTCTTACCTTACTGCTGTGGCAACTATTTTGTTGTTGCACATGCATATATGAAATACATATAATTATGTTTTGCTTCTTTCGATTTGATATTATTTTATCATTAGCAAAGCACTGCAATCAAATTAATCAAGTGCTGCATAAACATTTGCTTTTCGTTTGATTATAGTTTTCTCAACTCTTCAACAAGGTTTTTCTTTGAAATGAAATTAAATAGAAAATGAAAAGGAATGTATAAATTTAGTTTTCTTAAGCAGCTATAATATATAAAAAATATATAAATAATTATTAAATATTTATATAACTAGCTAATTTGAGTTATTTTAATATACATTTTTATTGAGCTCTACCGATGTATATAAGGCTATGGTTCTCAAATCGCAATTCCAATGTATTTAGCAAAAGCTAGTTAATAGCTAGCCAAACAGGTGATCAAGCATGAATGCCAGCTCGCACACAAATGTGATTTTAACAGGGGAGAGCATGCAATTTATCACACATACGCCGGGTGTAACTTAATTATGTAACTGCAGTTGCAACAGGAAAAGCCACAACAACCCACGCAGACTGACCTCAATGGAGCGCAGCACAGCACTCAAGTGACTTTCGCACACCACACCTGCACACACATGAATAAAAACGAGAGGAAATATAGGAAAAGTTGCCACCCGACCAATTGCAATGCGCGCTTCACTGGGCTTAACCCGGTTTGAGTTGCACTTGGGCTGCGGACAGTCGGAAGTGAGCTCTGGGTAGTGGCCTGTGGGCAGTTGCTACGGCCAAAGTCACTCATAAATCAATCAGGTGCATCCGTATATTTTTAATATAGCCCAGCAACAGCAGCAGCAGCAACAACAGCTTCTGCATAAGCTCAGCCTCAGCTCAGCCTCAGCTCAGCTCAGCTCAGTTTCACGGCAGAGCAAAGAGTTCGTGCTATGCCAACAGTTCTGCAATCAAGCTGTTGTGCCTTTTTTTGGGGTCACGTTATCCATATGCAGCGCTTTTATGCAGTTTCTGTTGAGGAGTAAAAACTGTGCGTTCACTGAGAGAAAACACGGAAATTATCTGAGTTGAAAATAAAAAATTATATTTTAATGACGAGCGGAGTTGAGCGTCTTTTCTTCCTTGTGAACGCTGAGATCTCAGAAGATAATAATATAAATAATATTGAAATTCTACTTTTAATTCTGATATTCTGCATGCTATGAATGAATGTTAAAATATATTGTATATTATAATTTTTCATAGTTCGCAAATAATTGACTATCACATTCAATTGCTCTTTATATGAGCAAGAGCAAGAGCAGAGACCTTCGATTCTTTTCGTTTTGATTTGCTGTTGAGCGCCTTCAGTTTGATCATTCGTTTGACGATGATTTCACGAACATCGTTTAGAGAGTGATACGATTGACGTTTGCACAATGAGTCACTAAATGAGTAAAAACTTACTGCTCACGGTCACATACACATATACACACTGCTTGTTTCACATTTTTTCTTTCTTTAGCTCAGACAAATTGATCGGCAAACACTCAGAGCAGAAAAAATCAAAGATCCGATCGTGAACGAGCTCGTTAAAGGTCCGACCCAATCGGTTGCTCTCCGACTTTATGCTCAGAGTGTGAGTAAAATACAGATCGAGAAACGATCAGTGTTTATATGCGAGCTATGATTAGTAATTTTTACAACATTTATTTTAAGTTCTTATAACTTCATAGGGAACATTTCTATTCTTTGATTCTTGCCTTCTTAATTAATATTTAATTTTTCTGTAATTTCCTCTGAATGTAAAGACTAAATGTAAGCGCTTCTTAGACTATTTTTGGCTTCACTCATTTCTAATTAAATTATTTCCAGTTTAACTGTGCTCAGCTCTATTCTTAAAGTAAGCTCTGAGTTAATGCTGCTTTGAAAGTCAGAGAATTCTGAAATTCACCATATTTTTCTCCAAGTGCATCCACTCGCTGCTCGTCACAGCTGGCATGAAATTGATGGAATGTGTGGCGTGGCATGGGTCAACTCTGTCCAAGCATCCGCATCATTCATCACGGCCAAAGTGCATCGCCAACGCAAAGGATTGCAAAATCTGGCATAAATATCGCGTTTACTGCTCAAAGCAAACAGCGAAGAGAATAAAACGAAAATAAATAAAAAAGTTGATAGCATAATAACAGAACGATTATAACAAAAATATTTTGTAGCTCATGGCCAATATGGAAAGTAAATAAAAATAAATACCAATCAAGTTGTCAGCATTCGAGTGGAATTGTTATTGAAATGCTTGAAATCCGTGTCAAATTCAATATTCGTTCGTATATTACTGTAGTTTTATATCTTTTTTATCTATTCGAGTTTTATTTATTTATAAAGTTCGATTTGAATTAAAATCGTGTAAAATCCATTTGAAATTTTTATTGTCTGTCAACATGGAAAACAAATATCAGGATATACAGACTCATGTACTCTACAATATGTGTGTGTGTTAGTGTATTTATGTAGTTGTTAGCAAAGTGCGCAGTGGCATAGAACCTTGTATAAAAGGACGTAAGCACGAAGTATGTACCTAAGCATAATTCAAGGATTTCTATTGCGCGCCACTTGTTGAATTCGTCATAAATAATTGATATAATCCCATTTGTATAATTTAAGGGAACATTACAGATGCTTCCATTCGTGAGACAATAAAGAGAAATAAATGTTTAAAGCGAAAACACTTCTAAAAAGACTCCTTATAAATACCTGAACAGGATTATGGAAATTGAAGTGCTTGTAATGATGGCCAATTTATTAAATGAATGTCTTTAAGAACGTACATCTGGTATATGTCAATTAAGTTGGACTACCCTAAACTCAATGAATTCTTCTGTATACTGTAGCACACATTAAATGTTTATCACGTGCTGCTGGCACATAAAATATCACCAAAATTGTGAATCACGGTCGAGTCACAAAACAAGTCAATTAATAGATAAGCCGCGTGCGCTGATAAGCAATCAGATTATGAAATAATGTACCATATATAAATATACATATATTTAGATATCTATCTATTTTTATCTAATCCGCAAGTGCAATGACTGCAAATAATTCGATAAAGTTGCTTCGTTTATTACGTGTTTTATGCGAGATCCACTCAAAATGCGACTCATTAAGTGCCTCGCCCCAGTCCGCTATACCACAAGCAGCTGCTGCGCCTTACACATACATACACATTATATATATATGAGTGTGTGTGTGTATGTATCTATCGCATTAATAATCAGCTTGTACGCGCTGCTATCGTAGTACTGCTTATCACAACAATGACGTTAATTTCGGTTTAATTATTTCTAAACACAGCCAAAACAGCTGCCGGCTAAACGACGCACTTAATTAGCCAACTTTGTTAACTGTTCATGTGTGTTTGTGTCTGTGTGTGTGTGTGTGTAAACTTAAACTTAATTAATGCTTTAAAAAATGCGATTTTATTTGCTATAATGCATTCATCGAAGCATGCCTTAGGGTCTGCTTAGGCACGGCTCAGGGTTAACGCGAAATTAATTACATTTCACTTAATGCATTCCATTATTTCTCAAGGGTATCTATATTTATGTATAACTAATTTGCAGTACAAGAATTCTTTAGGCGTTTTACTCTTAAGACAAAACAAATATTTGGCCAGCTCTCATTAGGGTTTTCGGTTTTGCCTGCCAGCGATTCAATGAAGCGCTTCAATAAGAAGAAGCTGAATACAAAAATTCCTTTCCCTTGGCAATTAAAAAAGT